CAGATGTGGGTGAAGTGCAGCTTTGCTCACAGATTCAAGGCTGTCTTTTTTGGGCCAATAAGATTAGTCAAGTCAATGCATTCATGAAGAATAAGAGTGTCTAAGCCCATTTTGTGCCACTATAATAGAATGCCATAGACTAGGGAATTATAAAGAACAGAAATTTATTTATTATAGTTCTGGAGACTGGGAACCGATCAAGTCAGGGCCTTCTTGCTACATAATCCTTTGGTGGAAAGCAGAAGGGCAAGAGGGCACACATAAGGTAATGCAGGGGTCTGGGGTATGCACTCACCTATTTCTCACGAACCCACTGCGGTGATAACTCACTCTCAAGATAACACCATTAAGACATTTAGGAGAGCAGAACCCTTGAAATCTTCTCACCTCTTGAAAGGTCCCACTCTTCCTCTGTGTTGCTTTGGTGATTCGGTTTCTAGTACATGAATTTCGGGGGAGACATTCCAACCATAGCACAGAACTTGCTTCCAGGCCCAGTAAGCCTTTAAAACTTAAAGATTACTGTTGCACAAATGTATGTGTGGACATAGGAATCACACTCGTCAGGCAAGTCTGTCTCTTTCTGCCCACCACTGTCCTCTCTACTCCCTTGGTCCTCAGTAGTCTTAAAATTGGCCAGAAATAGAATGGTGTACACACACACACACACACACACACACACACACACAATATAAGAGGCTCCATTTAAAACAAGGCCCATTGCATGAAGTGTTTCCCATGAGGAATGGTGCCCTTTGCCTTTGTTAGAAACCGAGCTAAGTTAGAACTTTGACCAGCACAGTGATCAGGGGCATATGAATAGCTGCGATTCGTTTTCCTGGGGAGAAAAAGCTGCTCATTCTCTCCCTAATCCCTGCCCATCACTCAGGGGCTCCACAGGTAGGTGTTGGTTCTGGTGAACAGAGAGGGCTCTAGGAGAGCTGGTAAAAACAAAAACAACAACAACAAAAAAAAAACAGCTGATGGATTGATGAGGGGATAGAAGGAGAGAGATGGGAATGGAGGGCAGGAGGACAACTTACTTTCAAATATTAATTTGCATCTCAAAAGAAGTAGGACCATAACAGTGCCCCGGTGAGGATGCAATAATTACACATCTCTCTGCTTGGAATGCAAGCGGATCTGGGTCTGCATGATACTCATCACTGGGGAGATGATGCAGGCCCTAACTCTAAGAAGCCCCCTTAGAGTCCCTGTGCAAAGTCTTTAGCTCTACTCTCCTTCTTCATTTAAGAAATGATGTCATTGCAAGAATACAGGCCTGGGGAACAAGGCTCTAACTGTACCTGGGAGGACCCACTGCCTCGACCTCAGTCCATGAAATTCTGTTGGTACTTTTCTCATAGCCCCCTGCAGAGGACTAGCAAGACTCCCAAAAGCTTCAGCAGAACTCTGCCAACATGGGGGCCTGGCTTGCCGGCCCAGGAGGATGCATATCCTTATCATGAAGTCAGTGGTTCAGATAAGGGCAGGGCAACTACATATCCTGGCTTTTAAATAATCCACACTGTAGTGCCTATAAATCATCGCACTAATCTGGAAACTCTAAATTGCATCCCCCAGATTGCCTCTCGACTCGGATGGGAGCACAGCAATCCATGTCAGGCTACGTGTCTCCTAAAATTTTAGTTACAAGGATCTGGATTCCAGAAACCTAACTCATCACAGGCTGCCATCCTAAAGCAGAACTAAGACAGGCATTTTGTGAAATTGGATGAGGAAGTTAATCAGGTACAAGTGATCTCTCTGGTCATGTGTTAAAGGCTGTGGGGGCCTTGAAGTCAGTACCTGCATTAGCCAGTGGCAGATGTCAAGTGTGAGGACAAGGTGGTGTCAAGGCAAGAACGTGGACTATTTTGCAAGGGGGTGTGTACTTCAGCTTCCAGCTACTGGTGTTAGTTGTCCTAGCAGAGGTGCTGCCTTGTTGGGTACTAAGGACATCAGTAACCACTAAGCGAGTTTGCTAGGAGGACCAGTAAACGGCCCCTTGAGAAAGAACCTAACCATGCCTGGCCCAGAGGAACAGGAAGGGGCCATTTTCCTCCCTGGCTAATGGTAGGACTGACGTATTCTGAATTTTTACACTCACCCAGCAGACACAAGGAATTGAGGAAGAGGGAGAATGGGCCTGGAGAATAGAGGGTGCAGGGCAGCACCAGTTGAGGGTGGAGGCCAGGGGACTGTCACACCTCCCTGAAGTATCAGCCCTTGGGAGGGGGCACTGCTGCTCAGAATAGACCTAGGACTGGTGAGACAGAGGAGAGTCCTCAGCATCCAGCGAGCACTGGGATCAGACGAGGAAGGAATTTCAGGACAACATTCAAAAACAGACCCTCATAATTAAGGAGGAGATCAGGAGAGCAGAGGAAAGAGAAGAAGGACCATGCCCTGTGATGGTACTGTGCCAGGTGGGAGCCCGTGCAAGATGGTGGCAGAGGGGAGGGAGTCAGTGGATTCAGAGAGCAACACAATGCTGAGCAGAGAGAGCTCAAGGGGGCTAAGCAGCTTGTGGGGTGGGGGATGGGGTTGTCCCCCCCACCAGTTGGAGGGATTTGCTTTGCAAATGAGTGGAGACATATGTCTCCTTTGAATACGGGGGAAAGGAAGAGAGAAGCTAAGGCACATGCATATCTTCGGAGGAAAGCTGGCACCGTGTATGAGTTATATCTAGTAAGCGAGGCTGCCATCTCTCATTTGGGGGGTTTTAAGTGGTTTCCTTTTTGGGAAGTGAAGCAGACCCTGTTTGGAGTCCTGGGACAGGAGTTGATTGGAGCACACACATCTGAAGGCAGACATACTGAGACTCCAATTCACACATGTACTGACACGATTCCCCACCCCATCCCTGAAGTCCCTCAGTGTACTCGCTGTAAGCTGGAGAGGTGGGTGTCAGGCAGTTGACTGAGCCACTGCTTGCTTGGTGACTCACAGAAACACCAGGCTGCATGCAGGACACATGACTCAGAAGGTGCCCCAGCCATTTGGGGCATTTGCCACCTCACTCTGTACTGAGGACCTTTATGGAGAGTCAAATTTTCAGATTTCCGGTCCACAAGTCCACAAGTCTCCTGCAGCTTGGCAGAAGATGGGAAGGAGGAAGAAGCTGTAAATGGTCGAAGAAGTGAGGGGCAGGCACGGTGGGTGATGCAGCACAGTGTCCGAGTTTTAGAGATGGGCTTGAGGAGGGGGTCTCATAATACCTGCTGCTGAGCTTCCAATCACACGTAGAGTTCACACAGTCATTCTCACAGTTCTATTTCATTTGATGGTGACGGCGGTCCTGCAGAGTATTTTTATGATCTTTGTTTGACATGTGAGAAAAAGCAGGCCTCCGCAAGCCGAAGCAGGTTTCCCAGGGACACAGCTAGTGGGTTGCAGCAGATTTGAGTCTGCAGAACCCCGAACCAATTTCTTCCTATTTCTCTCTTCCTCGCATTCCTGGGAATGAGCTGCAGCCTGCTCAGGAGAGAGCCTGGGTGGCAGGCAGAGGGGCAGGTGCAGAGGTGATGGGTCAGTTGGTGTGAAAGAACACTTGTCAGCAACTCAGTAGCCTATGCACAGAGACATGAGAGGAGGCAGGAGGGAACATGGAAGGGTGGCCAGGGACATGTGAAAGAGAGCAAGAGAGGATCAGGGTGAAGAATTTGAGGCCAGGTGCCTGCTGGGAGAGTTAGAATGCAGGGACTCTGCAAGCTAGTGGTAGAAGGGTCTGCAGATGAGAGAGGCCCAGTGGTGAGGAAACCTGGGGAGGCCTGGAGGTGTGGCCCAGGCTGCCGGAAGGCACAGGGCAAGCATTTGGCAGGAAGTTCCTTGAGTATCTGTAATCTTATTTCCTGCACTGGGACCCCCAGCCTATGGTTCCTTACCACTGGTAGACACCCCCAAGCATGGCATTTTCCTGAGTTAGCCTGTCTCCTTCACACTTAAGCTTGACTGCAAAAGCTTGGACCAGGAGAAGCTCCCACAGACCTTTCTACCAGTGAGTTACCCAGTGGGTATAGTCAGTAAGGGGGTGCATTGTAGAGAATTGCAGAGTAATAATACAACTAAGTCATTCTGCTTTTTAATAGCACCATGCACTGGCAGTCCCAAACAGTGGCAGTGATAAAAATGTTCCCCTGCCCCACCCTGGTATGACATTGCTTCTGCTGATACAGAAGCCCTACTTGGATCCCGCTCCTGAGCAGTCCTAGGGTAGTAGACTAACCACCCCACCCACCACTTGGATCCCACAGCAGCAGCCAACCAGGAAGAAATGGGTGTGTGGGCAAAATCCACACACTGGGAAGCACTCCCAACAACAGCTTCGCAGCTTCTAGAATTTTCTCCAACTACTCTCAGCTCTGGGTTTGCTTAGCTTTCCTCCTCCTGGATCACCCTTCGGGTGGTAGAATTGCAGTCTCACTGTGGAAGGCATTTTCATGGACACCTTGTCCAAGGGCCTTCTGGGGACTCATTCTTCTCTGTTGCATCTCACCATGTAGTTTTCTAGCCTGTCCTGAGTCTTCTCTTGATAGACATCTGGTCCCTGACTTGGAAAATTCTCTTGTATTCTCAAATAGAAATTCCTTTCTCCTCAATCTGGATTTGAACCATCTGTGGTCACAATGGGGAGTGAGTCGAAACCATCTTCCAACTGATACCTGTATTTTCCAAAGCAACTCTCCCTACCCCAAGGCTTCCCTGTTCCAGGTAGAATCCTTCCTGCAGAGCACCCTGCCTCACCACATGGGTCACCCAGTGTGTGACCACATGCTGGCTCCTGGGCCTATATTACCTCACACTGCCCTCCAAAGTGTTACAACTGCCATCTCTATTTATGGATGTGCTTCCAGCCAATGGAGCACCCTGTCTGGCTGCACAATATTCTTAGCCATCCACAGTACCAAGGCCTGGTGCCAGGGCTCCCTAGTGCCTAGTGCCTCAAAGCCAGAGGAACCGTATTAGGAGGTAACCGGAGGGACATGGCTGTCTTGCAGAAATCTCCTTTCGTGTGTGGATGTGCAGTGGCAGCCTGGAGATTATCCCCTGCAGCCGAGTGGGGCACGTCTTCCGGAAGAAGCACCCTTACGTTTTTCCTGATGGAAATGCCAACACATACATCAAGTAGGTGCATGTTCTGGGCTCAGCACACGTAGGCAGCAGTGATGTCGCTGTGGCTAAGGATTGGCAGCTGTCCCTGGTGCCCTGTTAGGTGGCCTGTGTGCCCTGAATAGACACCAGCTGCACATCTGTCCCTTGAACTCTTCCTGAACTTCCAGTGTTAGGGCTAAGGCTTGACAGGGTCCCCATAGGGCCTGAGGGGCGTCAAATCACTGTTCAGCACCATCCTGCAGGACCCACTAGGGAGGGTCCTTGGGAAGCTGTAAGAAATGGGGCCACATAGGAGATACAGGCTGTGTGCCTGCACCAGGGCCTCAGGGGGCACCAGAAGGGTCCAGGCTGGGGCACTTCCTGAGAACATGGCCCCTAGCACAGTTATTCTCACCTCCTGCCTCGAGATAGCATGTCCACATTATAGGTATCAGGCCTCAGCCATCCACGAGCGCGTGTCCCTGCTCCCTCCTTCCTACGCCTGCTTTCCTTCCATCATTTCTCCTCTTTTGATCTTCTCTTCTTAGAAGATAATTCATGTATAGTCTTTTTTTCATCTTTTCCTCCTATTCTAGCTTCTCTCCCTTCCCTTGATCATCCACCCATCCCCTCTATTTTCCTGTCATTGGTCCATTAGGGTCAGGGGTGCTGTGGGCCCCTTTGGTGTGCCCTTCACTTGGGGTACTGTTGTCCTCCATTCTTCCTTCCTTGGTTTTTCACACCCTGAGCACATGCACATCCTGCCAGCTGTCTCAGAGAAGGCATGGATCTGAGCAGTGGAAAAATCAGCAATACCTTTTGCAGCAGGCCAGGAAGCATCAGGGAAAGCAAGGGTGGGTCTGTCTTCACCTGCAGGTTTTCAAACTGCAAAGGGAAGCCAGGACATCAGGCCTGGCAAAGTCGTGTGGCCACCTGGAGTCAGGCCATCCTGGGAAGGAGGAGGCAAGATCTGGGACTCCAGACATTCATTCTGTTCCTTACTGTGCCCTAGCCAGAGAGCAGCAGCAGCCATGCCACTGAGCCCTCCAGTGTTAGGGAAATGTGGTCCAGTGTCTGCAGAGCAGCTTCCAGATAGCTAGGCCAGTGGGAGGGACCAGCAGAGCACTGTTACCTGCCTCCAGTGCCCCGAGAACTGGCTTGTATATGCATAATGTCATTTCAGGTCACAGCTCAGAAGGGCTTACAACACTCCTTTATCAAATGCCTCTGCTCCAAAATAGAACTGGAGTCTGAACGAGCATGCCCCTTCTCCCAAGTTCATGCCTCACAGGTGCTGCCACCTGCCATCTCATTGTTTCTGATATCTTTCTGTCTACTCTGGGGCTCTTTATGGGATCCCTGTATCTCTAAGTCCTAAATGATAACATCTTCAGTGTCTTACTGCCCTTCTCCCTGTGTTCCTTTTCTGTGACCTTTGGGGTCTGAACATGACCTGATCCCTTGTCCCTGCATGTACTCATTGCTTGGCCTTTGTGCTGATGTCCCCTGGAGAGCTGGGACCTCAGCATGTCCCCTATGGTAAAGGGGAAAACCCTGGAACAAGAGCCTAAGAACCAAGGCTGGCCAGGAGCAAGATGCTCAATACAGGACCTGCCTTTGAGCTTGGAGTTACTAGCAACAAATGAATGCCCAATGGTTCTCCTGGCCCTTTGCTCTTTATTTTTTCTGAGTTCAGTTTCTGGTGTTATTTTTCTGATCTGGACCTTTTGGTGAAAGGTTTGTTGTTCCTGCTAAAATCTTGTGCCTTGGGGTAAAGGTGCCTTTGAAGATTGGGGAGGCTTGGCTGGGCTCAGTGTCCTGAGAGCCATAGTGCTAAGGCTCAGTCATGGTGGTCCCCACCTGTGGGATGCTGCCAGCTTTGCCCATGGGTGTGTATTTCAACTGGGTACATTATAGCTCCTCCCAGACAGCCATTCCTAACACTCCTTGTCTCCCCAGGAATACCAAACGGATAGCTGAAGTGTGGATGGATGAGTACAAACAGTACTTCTATGCTGCCCGGCCTTTCGCCCTGGAGAGGCCCTTTGGGAAGTAAGTGCTGCCACAGGACTGCCCACTAATGGGGGAGCTGAGCTGGGCCTTGCACAATGTGCTGATATTTCCAGCTATTTACAGAAAGATAGGATGTTGGACCAGTTCCTTCAGGTCGGAGTTCCTCCTTCTACGTTTTAGTGACCCAAGATGGAGCCCATCACTGCACAGGAGGACCAAATCTGAACCAAACCAAATGACTCACACCAAATGAAATCACAGTCCACACTGTCCCTCTGGTTATCCTCACTCCTACCTTACTGAGGCTTTGGCTCTCAATCTCATCATGGCTTCCAGTCTACTAGACACGCCCACCACCCCTCCTCTCTTTACCCACTTTCCTCTCCAGCTTGGATTCCACTGTTGCTTAAAGACAAATTTCTAAAGGCCTTGTCCACAGATCTTATGCCCTATGGTTCATCTAGCCATACCCTTCCCCAACCCCACACAGTTTTCTCAACTCTGGAGGAACCTGTCCCTGTACCTCTTCCTTCCCTGTGCACGAACTGCTGGACAGTACTGGGATCTACTTAGTGCTACTGACCACACTCCATAGGCATCCTTCTCAGGGAGGCCACAAGATGTCCACTGGTCCTGCTAACTTTCCCAGCCAGCAACCCCTCCATCTTCACTAAACCTCCACTCCCCTCCCCCAGTCTCCTTCTTTCCCTTGCAGCAAATGACACCTGTAAGATGAAATAGACAACACTGATTCCCCAAAACAAACAACCCATTAGCTTCAGCGCATCTACGCCATCCTTCTTGGTCTCTTTCGTCTCAAGGGACAGGTGTGTTTCCTGTGGTGGTAGGGTGCTAGGCCAGCCTTCCTCCTGCACTCCAGATGCACCATTCATACTCGTGCTCATTCATAAATCAACACTTATCAGGTTCCCACTGCCTGGATTGATCTCCTCCTGCCTCCTGGTGCAGGGCCTCTCAAACTTTAATGTGCACGCACACAGAGCTCCCGGGGATTATGTTAAAATGGAGAATGTGATTCTCCAGGTCTGCGTTTCTAATAAGCTCCCCAGTGATGCCGTGCGGCTGGTCTGAGGATCCAATTTGAGGAACAAGGTTCTAGCAGGCAAGTTTCCAAATTGTGTTCACAGTGGGGAATTTCAAATCCCCCCAGCTCCTGGGCTCCTCCCCAAGTGGGCTGATTTACTGTCTGGGGCATGGCCTGAGTTGTGGAATTCGTGGAAGACACCCCTGTCTCCACCTCATGATTGCAGTGTGCATATGGCAGGACTTGCTACCAGGAGCCTCTGCTCACCCTGACCTTGGCAGATCTGATGTAGCATTCCCAAGCACATCTACAATCACTCCATGGCTCCCACAGCTCTGCCGTCTTCGCTTTTTTGACCACCTTTTTGGCCCTATATCCAACCTTAGTATCTTCTCCCCACCCATCGTATGTTGGCCTTCCTGCAGGGCCTGTCATAAGCCCTCTTCTTGGGACACATTCTCCCTGGCACTCACAGCCACATCTTCACTGCCCATACTCAGATCTCTGTTTCTAACCAAGACCTCTCCCCTGAGCTCCAGTCACTTATATCCAAGTTTCAACTGGGCCACTCCCTGGATGCCTCCCAGACACCTCCCACTCAACAGGTCCTAAACGCATGAAGTTCACTCCTAAACCTGCCCCACATCCCATATTCTCCATCCCCAGGAGCCTTCTTTTTGGGACCTTATTGGCCAAATCAGAAATCTGGGCATCACCCTTGTCTCTTCCCTTTGGTTCTCTGTCCCCATCGCAAAGATCCCTGGGTCCTGACAATGCTGCCTCAGTCACACATTGAGCTTGTTCCATCCTGCCCTGAAGATCTGAGAGTTTGTGGGGAGGCATGGTTTGTGCTCTGTGGGAAGTTCTGGTGTAGCACTGTGAGTGAGGCCAAAAGAGGAGGGGTGTGGAAGGCAGCCATGCTGCGTGGGAGGCAGGGCCAGTTCTGCCGGCAGCCCAGGAAGGACAAGGTGCAAATGGAAATTAGGTGATTACCAGCAATGCAGATGGAGAGCAGTGGAGGACTGACCCTCCTGGGCCTCCATGATAAAGTATGATTGGCACCTGGGGTTCCACAGTCACTTCCCTCCTGTCCTCCCTGTCCCCCAGCTCTGCCTTACCAGGCCCATTGCAGAACCAACTGTGAGATGTTCTCCAAGTGCAAACATTGTCCTGTCATACCCTGCATAGAGCCCCTTGGTTTCAACCTGGTGCCCTTAGGATGAAGCCCAGCTCCTTGCTCTCTTCCCACTCACATCCCTCTTCACACCTGCTGACATCCCACCCCATCCACTTTCTAGTTTGTCTAGATGACGTCCATGGTTCCTTCCACATACCAGTGTCACCATTACCACCTTGGCCACCATGCACCCAACAAACACCTCTGCATTGCCCACAGCCCCCACAGACCTACCCAGTGCCACCATCCTATCCCACACTGGGTGCAATACCAGACACAGTAGGTGCCCAGTGAATATCTAATGAGCTGTCACATGCCCAGACCCCAGCACCAGTCCAGGAAGAGGATTCTCGGAGGCTGGGGCATTGTGGAGTAGTATTTCAACTGCAGAATCCAAAAAGAAACTGTGAGGAGCAGGCCCAGAGTCCCATGGTGTGTGAATACCAACACACTGAATGTTCCAGCACCTTTATTTTTAAGGAAAAGTCAAAACAACCCCAAATTCCATTTTCAAGTGGAAGGTCAAGTCCTCAACACCACTGCTACCTGGTCATAAGATATGCTTTAGTGTCCCTAGCCCTGGCCTGAGCTGTAGAAGTCTCTGCGTAGTTCATTTCCCCAGCACCTTCCAGAGACATGTGGGTGCAGCACATGTGCACTGCTTGTGACTTAGGCTCCCAAGCCTGGGCCACTGTGGCCAGTTCTGTCTCTGACGGTTGTGTTTTGTCTTTGTCCCCATCACCCCAGCATTGAGAGCAGAGTGAACCTGAGGAGGAACCTGCACTGTCAGAGCTTCAAGTGGTACCTGGAGAATGTCTACCCGGAACTCAGGTACCCCTACCCACTAGAGCCTGGGCTGGCAAGGAGGAGAGGCCCTCAGCTGGCTTCACCTGGAGGAGATAGACTGGGGCCAACTGAATGAGGAATTTTAAGCCTAGGGAAGACTAAGAACCAGGGCTAGTTGGCTCCCTTTATCCCTGAAACTAGAAGGGGAATTAGGTCAAATCAGCAGCATGACGGATTGAGGGTAGCTAGTAACAGTATTTCTCAACTGTTGGTGTTTGTGCCTTTGGTTTTATCCTAAAAGCATGGACTTACTGATGCAGGCTCCATCCCAGGGATCCCTCCCACTGTGGCTCCCAAATGCTCATTTGCTGCCTTACTCCTAGTGACATCCTTCTCTGAGCAGATGTCAATCTTTGTGACAGCCCAAGGAAAGGTGGCCCTGCCATTCTCAAAATACCCCACAACCTCTCCAGCTGCTAGTATTCTTGATCCCCAAGGCAGTGGGTTCTCACCTCTCTTTGTGACTTTCCTCCAGAGTCCCCGAGGATTCCTCCATCCAGAAGGGTAAAATCCGGCAGAGGCAGAAGTGCCTTGAGTCTCACAAGCAGAACCCAGAGGTCCTCACCCTCAGGCTGAGCCCCTGTGCCAAGATCAAAGGCGAGGATGTAAAGTCCCAGGTAAAGTCAGCTGGCTGAGTACACAGCACCATGTGCCACCGAGGAGGGAAGTGGCCAGATTAGCCTTGGTCACTTGCTCTCATGTGTGTCATCAGGGCCCCAGTTCTACTCAGAGATCAGTAGGGGAGTGTGAGAAGGAAGACCCCCACCACCACTCTGCCACGTGTTCACACTGCCAGGTTCCAGAGACACAGAATTCCTGTTAGGACAGCGTAAAAGGCAACATTTTACCAAAAGGAAATGGCCCGTAAGTTAGCAGGAGCTGGGTCTGCTGTTGATGTTGTTCCTGCTGCAGTGAACATGGGCTGGGTTAGGCAGGGCGGGGGTCATGTGACATGGGCACTGCCTCTGAGACCAAGTGCCCACTCAGTGAGTCTCCAGGTAATCTGACTTCTGAGCAGTTCCGTCAGATTTGGTGACAATCACATCCTCTGCCTCATCTCTGGGCAGTGTCCTCATTCATCCCGTCCTCCCCTCTGTAGACCAAGGGTTCCATTTCTCCCTCTCCTGCTCTCCCCAAGTCCGCAGGACTGCAGGCCAGCTCTTTTCAGGGTTGCCGACGAATTCACAACCTATCTCAACCTCTGTCGCCCTTGGCCAAGCACATCCATCACCTGACGGCCCTCTCTGCTCTGCAGGGTCCCCTTTTGCCTGCATTCCTGTCTCTCCTGTCTGATTTCTTAGCTGGCTCCTCCCCCCACGTTCAGGCCCCACCCCCTGTGGAAGTTCACCAAGGTTCTCAGGTCACTGTATTTTCTCTATAAACTTTTTCATGGAGTTTTGTTTTTGTTTTTTTCATTTCTCCTGCTCTGACAATCTCCTCTGTTTATTGATTCACAAATTCTGTGTCTCCATTCATTCACTCAGTCATTCAGCAAATACTTCCCTGCTAACTTGAAGATATAGAGATGAACACCTAGTCCCAGGCATCAAGGGGTTGAATGCAGGAATAAGCAAGAGAGCAGATACCATGATATAATTCCTGACCTAGGGAGCTTGTGTCGGGTGCTGCAGGAGCAGAGACAGGGGCATCTGAGTTATGTGTGAGGACTGGGAAGTTGTCCCAGAGGATTTGAAAATGAGCTGTGTCTCAGGAGATAAGCAGTAACAGACCTGGTCAGGAAGGGAGAAAGAGTGGCTTAGGAAATAAAGCAGGTACTGAGACCTGGGGGTCCAGAGCAGGGGTGCCACCTTTGAAGGGCTGCAGGGAGACAGGGTCTGAGCAGATATTGAGGCCAGTGAGAAGCAGGAGTCAAATTGTGCCTGACCTTTTTCCCTGCCGAGCTTGACCTTTATCCTCAGGAGTGGGACACAATGAGGTCACAGGAGAGGGCTTGGGGATGGAAGGTTCATGGTTCAACTCCACGTGGGCAACTGGGTCAAACTCAGTTGAGATTCAAGTCAACAGATGGTGTGAGTAGCTGGTAGCACCCTGGCTGCCTTCCCATCCCTACTAGTTCTCTCCACCTGACCACATTCTTCCAGGCACCATGATTCCAACCCTGCCCAGTGCCTGTGGCCCCCCTTCCTCCTGCAGTCCCCACGTCTGCCAGCCCCTGCACGTTTTCCCTCAGAGAACTCCCTTGCATTTGCTTTTTCTTGTTAGATCTGTGTTGCTCAAACTCAGCTCTATGGATGTTTTGGGCAAGACAATTCTTTGTTGTGGGGGACTGTCCTGCACATTATAGGCTCCCTAGCAGCAGCCCTGGGCTCTACCCATAGATTCTGGTAGTACCTGCCACACACAAGTCACAGCCCTCAAAAATGCCTGCAGAAATTACCAAATGCCCTCAAGGAGACAGAATGGTCCCTTCCAGTAGCCATAGTTAGGTTTTGGCAACAGCCACCAGTGGCTTCTCCTTCCCTGCTCCAATCCCTGCCCCTCATCCCCACCTTAGCTGTGATCACTAAACCATTGTTCCCAACCTCAGCATAGCCTTCAGTATTCCCCTATTGTCCACCACAAAAATCCAGAATCCTGGGCCTGGTACTTGCATCTTAAGACCTAGCTCTGGCTTACCAAAATTTCTCCAGGAACCATGTCTGCTCTAGCAGGACAGGGGAGGTGTCTTTCTGAGTCAGACAGGAAGAAGGGAAAGGAAACCAAGGTGTTGATTTTGTCTTAGGTGTAGTTGCCTGGTTGAGAGTGACACAATTTTTTTTTTTCGTGTGGCATTTTGTAGAATGTTGAGTAGGTGACACACATCCTTTCTTTGAGTCTGTATTTGGGTGGTGCTTCTGGGAATCCCAACTCCTGGGACAGGAGATTGCTTTTCTGGAACTTGCTGTCTTCGGCAGCATAGAGGATCTGCAGTCCTCTGAGAGGGGTTCTGCAACGCCCTGGCCCTAGACAGAGGAAGCCAGGCCTTTATTGGGCTGCAGGAGAACTAGCTCATGCCAGCCAACCTTCCAGTCCTCTGAGCAGGCACCCCAGAGTCATCATGGCAAGGGTCAACAGGTGAGCAGAATTCTCTAGAAGACAGTGTTGGACTGTGGCTCCACTCTGCCTTAGGAGTACCACAGTGTTTGTGCAGCAGCCTTGTGAATTCAGGATGCTAGTGGATCCCTGGGGGATACAAAGAGGCTCAGTCCACCTGGGCAGACTGGAGTGCAGCGCCCTGGGCTCACACTGCCTGCTAGGGAGGCCAGGTAGGCGGTTCATGCTGGATTAGACACAGCCTCTGTTCTCCAGGGCCCTGCAGCAGGACTGGGCACTTGTCCAAGATTCTCTGACAGTGTTAAACCCATTTTGGATCCACAGAAATCCACATTACCATTTCAGCTAAGATCATCTCTCCAAGCGTGTGTGTGTGTGTGTGTGTTATAATATACACTCTGTAGAACTGATTGTTGTTTCCTTTCTCGTCCATCCATATTCCCCTCCCCCTCCTCATAAACCACCAATCCTGACTTTCTGCTTTTCAACCCTTTCTGCTAATATTAGGCATCAACACTGTTCTTGCCCCTTAACCTTGCTTTTCCTCCACTGCTTGCATCTGTCCACCTACCTCCTCAGCCTTTGGCAGTCCATAGGACATTGCATCTGCCCCTCAAAGCCTGTGCATAACTCATTCATCCATCTCTGTCTGTACCCACCTCATCTGACTCAGAAGTGACATGAGAACCCTATTAAGTAAATATACAGTTATCCCCATTTTACAGATGGCAGAACCAAGGCCCAGAGAGGTTGTTTAAGGTCATATACTGGCAGTGGCCCCCATGCCATTCTCTCCAAGCTCTGCCATTGCTGTTGCTGGCCAAGGAATCATGGCTGATTTCAGAGCTCATGGGAGAAGGGGTCTGTCCCTAAGATTTCCTCTTTGAGATTGTGTATATTAAAGTCATAGATCAGTTCCACCTTGACAGGAGAGAGTTGGAGATAGCAAGAGATTCTTTTTTTATCCACAAAGAGTCTTCTCTGTGGCCAATTTCCATTGATTGAACTTCTAAATAGGCGACAAACATAATCCTATGTCAGGGTCTGGGGTGGGCAGGCCAGAGAGTAGACGCTTCCCAGACTGGGGCAAGGTCCTGGGGCAAGAGGGTGAATGGAGCCTTTGCACCTCAGATTCCACTCCAGGCCCCCAGGGACGCACACTTTCTTCCTAACCCTGGGTCTGCCTTGCACTGCAAGCTCTCAGCCTCCGTATATAAACATAGTCACACCTCCCTAAAGGTTGTTCTTGGCCTAGAGGTATGTGCTGGGGACACAGTCCACTGGGAGGATGAACACAGACATGAGATCCACACTGGTCCTGAAATCAGGAGGGAGGCACTGGGCAGGGGATTCTGAAACCCAGGACTATGAGGAGAGTGGGGACCAGGAGCTCTGAGTTCCACATCCAGCTGTCACAACTCACTCTCCAGGTGGGCTGAGCCCTGAGCACTGGGCTGTTTTGTCTTCCAGCAGTGGGTTGGCTCACATACCTGCTCACCCCCACCTCCACGCCTCACTCTGCCTCACCTGCCTTCTTGCTGGTTTGTCAACTTTGGGAGCAAAATGTTGAACCCACATGTGTATCAAAGGTGCCAGTGAACCCAGGTCCTGTGGGAGATGCGAGAGAAATACATCAAGCCTTTGAAAACCTGTGAAGCCCAACAAGTCTTCAGGTTAACAAGTTTCCTCTTGGCTTTACTGAATTCTCTACAAAAACATCTGTGAAAGGTAGAATTTAAAAGAATTTAAAGAATGAGGAAAACATAAACTAGAAATTTCAATGTGCTCCTTCCCCTGTGCCCCCAGCCAATAGGCTCCTGGCCTGTGGAGCACACAGGCAGGCAGCTGGAAGCCCTGGGGTGGGCGAAGACAAAAGCTCTCCCCAGAGCTATGCCCACCTGGGTCTGCACCCTCCAGTGTGACAAGCTGCCAGCCTGTTACCTCCCTACCTGTGCTACCTTCCTTCTGGTGCTTTCTTGGCACAACTTTGGGAAGAGCCCCTCACAAGCCCCACACCAGCACCTCACCTGAGCACTTTCCAAAGTCAGATGTGAAGGGCCATCGCTCTTCCTTCTCCCAGTCACTGTTAGCAGAGCAGTTTCCTAAATGGAAAGCGCCATCCTGGGAACACGTGTGTTAACCCATTCATTCCATAGAGTGACCTTCTGCCATAGTGACTGGGAGTATCTTCATTTTGCATTTGAAGTCACTCAGGTAGAGAGCGGAGTAGCTCACCCAAGCTCACAATGTTATGGAGCAAGTGAGCCAGGATTCCAGACCCACAGTCACCCCAAAACCCAATTCTATGACGTAACACAAAATGTGCAGCGGTTTTAATCCCGCATCCATCTATACTCTTGCAATGTGGAGAAGAGAACAGGATGAGCCGGAAGAAAAGATCCCAAATGTGAGTCCAGTGTAGGTCACAATTGAAAGAGGAGAATGTGTGAGGCCTGCCAGGTCACCCTGTGCCTCTGGGCAGGGCCCTCCACCAGGGTGGGGCTGAGGCCCATGTTTGTACACCTGATGAAGGGACCCCGCCTGGACAGTTGGTGCATTGGGG